AATCAATAATCAATAATAATTTTTCGGAAGCCGCAGAGATATTTACAAACAATTTCACATACGTCGTAACTTGTATGAGCTTTTATTAAACAGGGTTTCTCAACACATTCCAACAAATCCTATAAATTTTTAGTAATTGAACATTTTTTTTTTATTTTCTATAATTTTTTGTATTTATTTTATTTAGTATCGAACTTTGCACATCAGTGAAGGATAGAAGAATACTAATCTTTAAATACAAAGTATTAGTTATATGTATGAGATTTTTTCCACGAAAAATGTAAACTTGATAGTACACCCTGTATATTCAAGGAGATATTTCATATAAGTCTCTTTTTCTCTGTTTGGTCGCTGCGGGTGAGCCAGTATATCTATTAAGGATTGAATTCAATAATTTTTCAAGCGAAACAATTGCAACATTTTAAATTAAAGGCGACGTGCACAATTTGTCGAGAACAAAGCGATTTTAAAAATGATTACTGCCGTTTGAACGCATTTCATGTGAACTGTACAATCAGGCAAAACTCTGAAAAGGTGCCCTGGGAACCATCTTGCTAACATTTTTTCACTCGTTTATTAGTGTGTTTTGTACTTTCATTTTTGTAGTTTTTTTATTATTTTTAGTAATATCAAATAGAAAACAAAATCCTAAAGAAATCAATTTGAATAGACATTTTAGACCATTCTAACAAAAATTAAATAACTTAAATCAACTTTAACAATAAAGGTAACAAATATATAAGAGTGTCAACTCATTTTTTTTAATGGCAACACACATATTAACTAGCTTATAAAATGATTCAATTTTTTATTTTTTTGGACCAGTATATTGAAAGTTATTAACATTTTTATTTCTAAACGGTAGGATAGGTCCGACTGAGAACTGTCTAACGATAAATATTGTCATACGCGAGTCACACATTCTAACAATATTTAAAATTACTAATAACTTCTGCAATAAAGGGTCAAGAGTTGTTATGGACCAGTCATGAGATAATTTTTCATTTTAAAATCCATTTAAATACAGCATTTAAAAAAATGAAGTTTACATCATTATAAGGTTTATTGAGAAATTAAAATATTAAAAATAAAACTAAAATTAAAAAATATATAAAAATATCAATAATAATTTTCTTAACATAATTTTATTTTTAGAGATATCTGTTAGTTTTAAAATAATCACCTTTTATATGTTTGTGTGAATTGTATTTATTAAATAAAGAAAAAGAAAGTATTTATTTTAAGTTTTTTGTTCGTTTTTCCAATCATAAAAATACCTTATAATTTTACGTCTCTTTTTTTCAAATATTCTTTTTGCCATAATCTGAGCGCAATAGTGAAACATTTATTTAAAAATATAGTTTATTGAGAAATACTAAGAAATGGACAATAATGTACTTCTATCGTATATTTTTGATGCTAAAAAAAATGCGACTAAATTCTCATTTCTTTGTCGTTAATTTCAACTGTCTAGTTATTTTATTTTATAAGTAATATTATAATGTGTAGTGTGTTAAACTTATGCATTATTGTTATAGTATGTTTCCTATATTGATCCGCTTAACATATTAATTAAGGAATTAACTGATTTTTTTAAAATTTAATAATCCTAAATATTTTCTGTGCATAAAAATAATCACATTGTGTTATAAATCTGGAAGTAAAAATTTTATTCATTTGCATATTTTTTAATAGTATTTGCAGAAAAACGAGATTTACAAACTCAATGAATTGTTTTTTATTTAATTAAATAGTTGTTTTTGCATAATTGGGAATATTTCACGCATAAAAAAAATAAAAAAGAATATATTAATTAATTTAATAAAATGTCAATGTTTTTTTTTATTTTGTGCAATAATTTATAACAATAAACATTTTATTGAAAAAATGATTATTTATATAAAAAACTTTAAAAGCTTAATAATAATTTCAAGCTAATTTTATTTTATTCAAAATTATATATAAATATAACGATTTTTACTTTGGAAAATAAAAATGAATTATGAATTTCAGAGAATATATTTTAATAAAAGAATGCTTTTAGCACTATTTACTGATTTTTTAGAAAATATAAGATGAATAATTTAAAATTTTTAAAAGAAAATTAACATTAATTGTGACTATTTTAAAAGATTATTATTCCGAACATTACTTATAACACTTTTAATTATTTATTATAACTATATATTAGACGTTTAGGTTATTATTTGAGTTCAGTTCTTTATGCATTTATAAAATAGTTTGGACCACTTACGAAATACACATCTCCGTGAAAATCTATTTTCTAATATTTGTCTGTAGTCTTTTATTTATGGAGTATGTTCTTTAAAGGTTTTAAAGTGTGCATTTATTTTTTTCTTAAAGTGGAATTCAAGGTATCAAATTCCACTTCAGCAAGCATAAACAATCTCTTTTCACAACAAAGTTCGGTTAACGGTTTTAATGTGGTTATCGTGTGCGTAAAGAGTTTTTGTTTGAACTTAAACATATTTTAAGTTAAAGTGTGAAATGTATGACAGTTTTTTATTTCATTTTTGACTCTTAAGAATACATTTTTGGTAGAAAAAAGTTTGTTGTTTAAACTGCTAGTACTATTTTTTTTTTCAATAGGTTTTAATTTGTAAAAATATAATAATTTTTTAAAGTAAGGTCGGAAAAAATACCACATTCTGAGAAAAAAATGCTTACAAACCGACTACCAAATAAAATCCCGATAAAAAAAATGCTCACAAATCGAGTACTGAGTAAAAGTAGAGTCCTAAAAAAGACTGGGTACACGACACATCTCTATTAACTGTCCCACAAAGGTTTATATAAATTATTAAAATTGAAGTCTTCCTACAATGCCAAAGCAATCATATTATCATTTCAAGATATACATATTTAGTTCAGTGTGATTTTTGAAAATGTTTAGGTAAATATTAGATTTTAATCTATACTATCTTTTGATTTAATTTTAAAATTATGAAATTTAAAAATTATAACTACAAGTTAAAGCATTCAAATTTGGAATTTATGTCAATTTTTCTATTCTTAAATCGGTAGCAATAAACAATAATATAAAGATTCTGCATTTAATGGGTATGATGATATAATTTATAATTGATTATATCTATATGTATGTTTAAATGTATTTATGATTAAACAAATGCTAGTATAAAATAAATTATTAACTATTTTAAAAAAGTAAATTTAATATTATATATTGTGTTCATACTAATGTAGTATAAAAAATTGAAGAAAAAGTTGAACAAACATTGATGATCAACAAATGATTTAGTAAATAAACAACATTTTTTCATTGAGATTAAAAATGTAAATATTTATTTAGTTAAAAACAGTTTTATAAACAAAAATATTGGAAATAATAATAATGCTATTCGAAACTTTTTACAACCAAGTTATTGTAAAATTTTCCGAAATTTATTTAAATTATAAAATTATTAATTTTTTTGCTTATGATCTTTGATAACTATTTAGTTGTGATCTCATTTCACCTAATTTAACTCAAAAGCTTCTATGAGCTTTTCCGTTTATAAAAATATTTATATTGCAAGAATAGTTTTCTTTTTAAATAATTATTGCTAGTAATTAACTATCCTTTATTATACTCTTAATGATAAAAGAAATCCAAAATTTCCTTGGATATCAACCTTGGTTTTACAACATTTTATAACTGACTATTTATTACTGTACTGGCAATTTAACTAATTGAAAGAAATACTAGTATTCTCAGCTCTTATAAAGGATTATAAAGATAAGAAACAGTTGGAATTCTTATTCATAAATATTTAATTAGAGATTTTATGCTGTACAATCAAAGTTTTTATACCAAATTCTAAATACATTTTGAATAAATCATTTATTTTAATGTTTTGTGATAAAATGTTTTAAGATCATTGGATTTATTTTGAATACTTATTATTTTATCAACTAAGTTGGTAGTAATTAATATTTGATTTTTTTTAAAATTTGCAATAATTGCAAGCACTTAGAGATAGAAAACATTAAAAAAAGATTTAGCTAAATTTATTTCAATTATTATTATTTTTTATTAAAATTTCTTCATTTATTTAATAAACACTAAAACATTTTTTTATTTAACATGGGAGATAAGATTATTGCCGTTAAATCGTTTATTGTCAAAAATACATAAAACATTTTTGCATTAGAAATATGTAAAATGTTATTCATTGTTTACTTCAAACGGAAACTGGTAGACTAATAAAAAATGGCCCTTATATTATAGCATGAGTCATCCGTTCTTAAAATCGACCAGCTTTTCCCTTGTAGTAATAAAAGATAAAAAGATGTGATGAAAACCCCGTAAAACTTAATTAAAATTATAAATTAAATATTCTATCACCTGCGCTTATTATATGGGTAGCGCAGGTAAATGATAGTAATTAAAAAAACATGTTCAACCCCCTTGGCAATACTTAATCGTTTTAGTTAACATATTTTTAAATATGTAAAGATACATTGCGTTTATTAGAAAAACATTACAAAATGAATTTACAATAAGTTAATTTTTTTACATAGTGTTAGTAGCGTTAAATAAACTCGCCTATTTTTAGAATCTAAATATATTAGGGTAATAAAACAATTAATTAAAATAATATATCACACAATTTAAAAATAAAACTCTTTACACTACTAAAATAATTTTTTAATTTCCCATCTTTTTAACTTTGGTACGACCTTAAGTATTATGTTTTTATATATTAAAGTGTTATAAATGAATGACATTATTTAAAGTTTTTTTAGTAAATAATTATATTATTATTTTTTTTTTATTAATTTTATACGTGCTTAAAATACTATGACTATTTTAACTTATTTTATTTTCTGTCTTTTTTTATAACTAAATCATAATTTAACGAAGAGTTATTAATTTAATGAGTGCATAAAACGGAAAAAAACATAATTTAATCAATTATAAATATATAGATAATAATAAAAAAAATTTGATTTTTACTTTTATTGCAACTATACATTGATAAGTTTTTTTCATTTTATTTTCTAAGGTAGTTTTGTGTTAGAATAACTTAGTTTCGTTTCGCTTCAGGATATTAGTTTGATCAATATTTCAGTGCACTAAATTTGTATAGAAAAAAACAAACGCATTAAATCGTTTTTTCTTTTAACAAAATAAATAGTGATTAATGTTTTGCGCATATTTAAATATTTAGCCTATTTAAATTTGCTGGACTATGTCGTTACCAAACTGTGGCGGTAATGATGAAAATGTTACCCCAAGCTCTATTATAAAAAACAACGATGAGCAAATAAATCCCATGACGGCATCCACTACAACGGCTACTATTGCGGATGCTTTTGACATATTCGATCACAGCGGTAATCGAACTATCGATGTCCGAGAATTGGGTACTGTGCTTCGGTATCTCGGTAAGTGTGGAGTATACTTAAGCCTTTAACGATTCACTGGTTTTTAAAAAATACGGTACAAGTGTTCATTGTGCATTTAATTGGATGTCCAGATAATTAAAATCACCCTTTAATGTCGATGATTGTTGTTTTATAATTTATTCTTTGACCAATTGATTTATCGAACACTTAAAACTGCTACCACTTTGAAACAAAATCTTTTTGATTTCAAAATTTTAGACATTTATATTGAGTTGATTAACACGCTCATGAGTAAATAAATGTTTTACGTCTAGTTTATAAATACTTTACAACTAAAAATAAATTTTAATTTAAACTTCACAGTAATTTCTTACCAGAAAAAAACAAAATAATAATTTTCCTTTTCATGAATTACTGATTCATAAATATTTCCAAGTGACCCGAATTTTTAATAGATTTTTTGTTAATTTATTAATTGAGTCATTAGTTATGAGATCAAAAAATATGAATGTCGGAGAAAGTTTTCTGTGCCAAAGGTGCTTTTTCTTTGTGACATATTTCAATTTTTTTTTTTTTTTTTGCAAGATATAGTATACGTTTGATAAGATATTGTATTATTTACTGCAATCAAATTTTTCGTTTGTGTTTTAATTCGTTAGGTGCCACGTTAGATGGGTAGTCGACAAATGTCAGATGATCTTTACAAGCCTATGGCTTTTTCGGTTATCAACTCACTGCGACAGTTAACTGTACTTTTTGGTTTTTATTTTACGTTTTACTGTTTTTTTTATTACCATTCTTAAGAAATTATTTTCGTGTTTGTGACACTGTCAGGGTATAAGATACAATGCACCAAACAAATAGAATTTAGAGGGGTTTATTTCCTTTGTATAACTGGTATAAATCAATTAACTAACCATTGGTAAGTTCCAGGAGTTTTCTTGAGCTGGCAAGACGAACTTAGCCACATCGTTATGTTCTTCCTGGTATTAGTAGTTACAAACTTTAAGTGTCTCAAGAAGATCTTTCCTATTTTATACTTGAGCTGCCCTTTATTTTGAACCCAGCATGAAATGCGTTTAGAATCTGAAACGGAATCTTAAGTCTTTAAAACTATTAGATTATGTATAGACGGTTTAAACGACAATATCAAGTCCTTTTGATATAATATGACTAGCGAACAAATCGTATTATTTTTAGCCTTACTTAAACCTCCCACATATATTAGTTTCAATGTTTAAGTGCGAGAAAACAATATAGCAAAATTAAATAGTTTTGCTGTATTGTTTTTTAAAGTTCATATGACACATATGCGCCATATTAACTTTCGAAAATATCAACGGGTCAAGTTTGCATAGTTTCAAAAAACTAAACTCGAATATGGTCAAGTATAAGGTTGTTCAAGATTTTTCTTTTTTCAAGCATTTACTCTTGAAGTGTACTCTTTTATCCTAAACAGAAAATTAGCATTTTTTAACTAATGTCTTATCGCGGAGTATACAATTTTACAATACATTTCAATGTTTAAAATTATCTTTTTCCCTAATATGCGACACACAATCAAAGACAATTAAAAGAAATTATTATTATTGATAAATTTTGTTTTAATCGATAATTTAAATAAAAGTAATATAGATTTCATTGTTACATACATAAAGTACGTAAAACAAAACCTTCCATGTTAATAAATATTAACAAGCTAAATTAACATTGATGTTTTTAAAGACACTAAAATGTTAAATTTAGAGACTAAAATACTATATTAAGTAAATAAAAACAAAATAATGATTCAAAAAATATTTTTGTGGGTTTTTTTAATCAATACTGGCTAAGTGTAAAACGTCCATAAAAAAACAAATAAACGTACTGTATAGCACATTGCGTATTTAGAAATATACTCAAGTATAATTTCTTTTGAACTCTCCTTATATAAAAACAATTTAACAAACAAGTTTGTTAATTTTTACCAAGGAATATATTATTAGTATGGAACCAACGATATAAATTAAAAATATGAAATGCGTTATTTAAAAAATATAGCACGTGTGACATTACTATTTAGTTTGCTAAACAAATTACTCAGACAAATTTCAATTGGTTGTACAAATGGATTTAGAATGAGAAGTTTTAAGTATAAAATGAATAATATCAAGAGCATAGGTCCTATTCAAACGATAAAATTATTACAAACAACAAAATAATGTTGAAAAAATATCACAAAAAGTTTTTTAATAAAGTTACCATATGTAGCTATAAACTAGAAGTATTAAACTATAAAAAATATACGCGATAAGTTCATAATAAAACTTTAAACGTTTAATTTATAATACGACACTTTTAATCATATTTTTTTAACTGAATAAGTATATACATCACATTTTGCGATGAACACATTAGTAGTGTTATAGTATATGATAAATTTATTTATATTTATTTTATAATAAAATATAGTCACTTATTTTATTTACTTAAAATCCAAAAACTAATGATGCTAAATTTAAATTTAAATTTTTTTATTAAAGCCAATTATAAATTTTATTTAAAAAATTATTTATCCTAATCATTATCAATAATAATTTAATTTAAAAATAAATGTCCCAAAATTCAATAAGTATAAGTAACATGTTTTAAATCCAAATATCAGTTTTTCTTCTTTTATAATACTTCGTAAATAACTGATTTGAACTAAATTTGATACATGAACACATCTGTTTTTTGAATTTTATAAAACAATTTAAATTGGAAAGGAAAATATATATTTTTTTTAATTCTATTTATAAAATGTCAAGTTGTATCCAAATACCCTTCGCATACTAGCTCAACAATACCTTCTATATTCTCTTTAATGTATTAATATGTTTGATATACAATAATTAGGTTTAAGTTATTTGTTAAAAAAATTATTTGTATTAAACTTTAGGATACGTGCCTTCACAAGCCGATTTGAGGGAACTTGCAGTAAACGTTGAAGATCACGAAGTTACAGGTACTGTTCATCTTGCAGCATTTTTACCATATGTTGAAAATGCCATAAGTGAATATAAGTAAGCACCTAATAAACATAATGCAGTTTTTGTTTTAAAATTTATGATAATAATTAACTTTTCACAAAAGAGAGACACATTATTTTTCAAAAAATACCAAAAATCATTCAATGATCTGATAAGTGAATAATTTATTGAAGAGGGTATGAACATGGTAAAATACACGTAGAATTTTATTTTGATATCTATATTTGTAAAGAAAATCTCTATATAATTTATAAATAAAATAACAAACTGTCCTATAAGATGTAATCTACATTGTTTGAAGGGTCTGAGAAAAGACTATTTTTCTTTGTTAGATACCAGCCGGCGTCAGCTACAGAGCTTTTAAATGCCTTCCGTGCATTAGACCCTGAAAAGACTGGTATGATTAGTCGCGAATGTATGGAATCTGCTCTTCGACATGACGGTGAACCTTTTGAAGACGAGGAAATAGAAGAAATGATGTCTGTTGCAGCAATTGAAACGGCAACCGGTGAAACTGTAATACCTTATGAAGTGTATATTAATAAAATATTGGTCAGTATACATTTGAGAAAACATATTAAGATATTTATATTAATACGGTTTTTGTATTATTCATACACAATCTTACAACTATTTTTTTTTTAAATACTTAATAAAGTTTTCTAATATTAAATTTAAAATAAAGAGTTTATTATAACTAGAGTAACGACTTATATGTATTCATACATTTTATTTCAGCCATTTTAAAAGAACCTCCAAGTTTGAGAAAATTTGTTGTTGAAATGTATAGTATCGTAGAAATATTTTTTGTATGAGAAGAGTATAACTCTCCTAATCCATCCCAACATTATAATCGCAGTTAAATTACATTACTAAGTTTTTCAACCCTATTAATACAATTTTTTACTGGCTGATGACGTGTTTATAATAACTTAATAAAATTTATAAATGCACATAAATCCAGGTTAAAATTATAACTTAGTTGGATTTAGATAAATCTTATGAAAAAAGTATTAACACACTTTAGTTTTTGTTAGCCTAAGTTAATATTAAAAAATAAAGTCATTTTAATTATATTATTTATAATTTTTATTTAAAGGTGACAAAATGGGATTCTGAGCAGTATAAACACACTTACAACAATACTGTTACACCGATAAATATGGCACAGAGAAAAAATAACATGTGAAAATTTTAGTAAACAGATTACATATCAACTTTAATACACGAAAATCAACTATTGATAAAATTAATTCGTTTTTTCATAATATTATACTGTCTTTACATTATTTATTTAACAAACATTTCTTGTATTTTTTATAAATAGTGAATAAACCCTTAAATTTCGAAAAAAATTAATGTCAATTTTTAACTTAAATTATTTGCAATATATTCTATTTTATCTTATGATGTATATAAAACAGTGAACCACAATGATGATTTTAAAAAATATATATTACACTAAACATGAGATATTTTATGTAATTTGTTTACTATTAATTATTCTATTGGTTTTGATCCAATGAAATGGTTTTGTATGTTATGTTTATTAAAGAGAGTTAAATTTAGTCAGTTAAGAGTTGTAACTATTGAAAGGGTATGCAAATGTCAATAAACACAAGTCGAAAGAAGGGCGACCTTATTTCATACTTCTTCATTATGGGGCATTTTCATAACATGTAATAATTAATCCTGTTGACACTTTTTAATAGAATATTTAAAATCATTATTACTTGTTTACAACAAAAATATATATATAATTTTAAAAATTAAAATAAATTTTTTGCATTACAAGTATAATAATGTTATTTTTAGGTTTTTATTGACTTACATTTCGTGTTACTATATAAACATATACAAAACTAAATATTTTAATTAGATTGGGAAATACCGTCTCTCGTTGAAAGTAATTTAACAGCTCTATAAATAAATTAAGGTGGTTTAATGAAAATATTGATCAGGACCCAAGATGAAATACTATCCATTTATACCCATTAAATAAATTACATTTTAACTGAGATACGTTGGTTGTCATCATACAAAAAAATATCTATACTTATAAATTAATACTATTATATACGTTAATTACTATTCTATCGTTTTCAGTAAACATTTAATTATTAAAAATAAAAAAGCTCATGAATATTATAACTGTTCTTACAGTTTCCGATTCTTCTCTCCTCATAACATGACCAAAGCATCTAAGTCTATAGATTTCTTTCTCGCCTTCTTTTGTTCCTAGCCTTTTATACAACTCATCATACCTCTTAAACTTCACCTTACTTACTGCACACTTGGCTTCTTTGCACAAGCGTTTATACTCCATCCAGTCTTCTCTCCTTTTGCTTTTCTTTCGTACTTGAATTGCTTTTTCTTACTTTCTATGATTTTTTGAACGTCATCATCCCACAACCAGGTTTCTTTGTTTCCTGGCATTCTACTACTACTTTCATCAACAATCTCCTTTGCAGTATTCTTTACACAACTAGCAAATCTATTCCACACATAATTTATGTCTCTCTCGATATTCCACACCGTCCTCTCTTTTACCGTCTTTACAAACTCTTTTTCATTTTCCTCTTTCAATCCCAATCACCGGATCTTTGATTTTTCCCCCATGATTCTTCTATTTTGTATATTCTTTTTCCGGTAACCCACAGCTCCATTACTATCAGTTTATGTTGTGTAGTTACAATCTCGCCTGGTATGACTTTACAATCCTTTACTCGCTTTATGCTCTCTCTCTTCAACATAAAATAATCATTCTGTGATCTATTATTTCCACTCTTATAATTAATATAATGTTCTTCCCTCTTTTTAAAATAAGTATTAACCACAGCAAGATCATACGATACTGAGAAATCCAGGATTCTTTCTCCAGCCTCATTCTTCCCACTAAAACCATACCCTCCATGTACTCTTTCATATCCTCTCCTCTCATTACCTACATGTCCATTCATATCTCCATCATCACCGTATCTTCATTGCCAAATACCCCTTGCATCACCTCATCTATCTCTCTCCAAAACACTTCCTTGTTTATTTCATCACATCCTATTTGTGGTGCATAGACACTTATTATATTCAGCACTTTTTCTTCAAATATCAATTTTACGACCATAATTCTGTACTTTTCTTAACTACTTTTACTACTTTACTTTTCAATTTCTCATCCATTATTATCCCTACACCATTCTTTGTACTAGACTTACCTGAGTATATTATTTTATAACCCTCGTCCATCTCTCTCGATTTCTTTCCTTTCTACTTAGTTTCCTGCACACAACAAATGTTAACTTTTCTCCTTTTCAATATTCCTACTAATTATCTACTTCTACCAGTTAATGTTCCAACATTCCAAGTACCTATTCTTACTTTGTATCTATATTTCTCCTTTATACACGAGTCCAGCCTAGAGTTAAGTGGTGATGTCCCTACACCGTTGATACTACAAGTGTTGGGTAGACCTGTACACATGACTGGTGAAACAGCTACCGCACAAGATGTCCGACTGGTATCAAACACTTTATTCCTTAGGCCTTCTCCGTTTTTAACTACTTTCTTGTACATCCGAGATGGGACAATCCGCCTAAGTTTTGTTCAGGGTTCCTCATACTTTTTCGACAAAAATTTTTACGCTGTCGACCTGACGCAACCTTATTAGTCGCCTCTTACGACTGGCAGAGGGGCCGTGGAAGTATTCTTGTCTCCTATCCATAGGGAAATGTAAATACAAATAATTCAAGAAAAAAATTATAATAATATAAAAAACAGTAACTTTTTGCACAAACATATTATTACTTAGAATACTTTCAGATATAACTTCAATTATGTACTAATGTTTCGAACTTATATCAGAGTTCATTTTGTTAGCTAAACCTTCGAAGTTATAACTATGCTGTCAGCCTAAATTAGTTTCTATTTATTTTTATATCGTTAATCGGTTGACAACATATAATAATATGTTGATATTATTAATAGTCATAAGTCAATATGACTATTTTTTATTGTTGTTGATATCTGTTTATTATTTGTGTTGTATTTGTCTTTTTTCTTTTCGATATTCTTGATATATTTTTTTATTTTCATCGACAATTTTTAGATATGTGGATTATAGCTTTTTCACACATTATGTTGTGTTTATTCATTTCTTTTATCTTGGCGTATAACGAAAATTAAGTCTTGCTATATTTCCATCCGTCTTCTCGATTATAATTTTTTAGGCATTTTTCAATTTCAATTCCTTTTTATATATTTGTTTAGCAAAATGTTTCATTAAAAATTTTGATCTTGTCAAATTTTGTCAAATTCTTGTATGCTATTTTTGCTGTGTTCAGCTACCATGGATCTTTTCCCCTTTGATGATAAGAAGAAACTATAAAAAAATATTTTTATATACTTAATTTAGTAGTAGTCAAATACTTACAATAGTAATAATATACAAGTATATGTAGTAACTACTTACCAATAGGAAACTACTGTGCATATCCTTAGTACTTTTTTCATCAATACTATTAGGGAATTTAAGTAGTTTTTTTTTTTTGTAATTATTAATAGTTTTGTTTCCTAAGGTTGTATATTTAAAAAAACAATTAAAAAAGCCTCATTTAATACTTTAATGGAGTATATTAAGGAGTTATCCTCATTTTTATACCTACTGGTATGAAGAGTACGGTCAGGAAATGATAAGTGCTAAAAAGCAGCACTCACTCCTCATCACCAGTCATTACTTTAAATTGTTAATAACTTCTGTATACTTCTGATCCAAAAGTTGTTATCGACCAGTCATTTTCTTAATTAGATTATTTCCTATTTTATAAGCTAATTAAATATGTATGTTGCCGTTTAGGAAATTAAGTTGACACCTTTTTAAGTTATAGGGGATGAATCTAAAAAGTAAATAATAGTTGATAAATCAATAATTATATGTAACTAAAAGAAATCAAACAATTATTTTTCCAGTATTATATTTATTTTTCGAATTGTCGAGCGGTTTATCATAAACCGATCACTCGTATAGAATACGAATGAAATTTTTTAAGGTTAATGCTTTTACTAATTATGATTTATGATATTTTCAATTATCGTTAAAGTTAAGTCAGTTCAGTGAAAATTAAACAAATTTTTATTGTGACTGTAGACACAAAAATAAATAAATATATAAACATATAAATAATCACCTACTATAAACGCAATATGTTTACCAACTCCGTATATCTTTACATTGTGGCAGTCTAATTTTTACCTGATCTCTATCGATCGTTATAACTAAAATTAAAATTAAACATACAAATTAATTTTGTAATGTACACCAAGTTACGATAATACTCAGTATATTAATGTATAAAAATTATCTAAGTGAAACAAACCCCTCACTTATTTACAAACTGAATAAATAAATGGAAAATTATTTCCATTAAAACGTATTTAGAAATCTGCCACTCAGTATTTTTATGTTGAATAATATTTCCACCAGCTCCAAAAATAGGGTACATCGCAACTTTTTCCTTGCAACGATGAGCAATATGGTAACTCAATACTTGTGGGTAAACTGAGTCGAAACCCTCTGGATCCAATTTAATTCTTCAGCTATATTTCGTTAATAAAGTATATGGTTTATCCCCGTACTTTTTTAGAATATCTTTCAGAGGCAATGCTTTTGTATAATTTTTACTGGGACTATGAGAATTCCAAAAAAAATTAATTTTCCTAATTTTTCAGCATAAATATAATAGTGACTTTTAAATGTATTTCATTGATTTTCATTGACTTATTGTAACGTCGTGTCAACATATTATCTAATCTTACTACTGGATGTCTGAGGTTTTTTTTCAAACGTTGTATTTTTTTTTTCAATGATTAATGTATTGAAAATTTTGCTATAATTCTTTTGGAAATCATCATTTCTCAAATCACAAGTATTTTTATATATGGTGGCATGAGTTCTTCTAATTTTTTTATCGATCAATTCAGTAGGTTGTATTTTATTGTATGTACATAGATGTTTCTAATACCATTGAAGGATGAAATATTTGCGTTTTTCTTTTCATACTATTATAAATCATTCTATTTGTACTACTACCATTCCTATTAATATTACTAGTTCTACTTGCAAAAATATCGCTCATCCTATCATTATAACTATTACTTAAACGATAAATTTTTTTGTATTTATGTCACTGTGATTAATACTACTGATGGTATTCTTAAATGCCTCAGAAGAAAAAAACATTTTGTAGTTTGAATCAGTGTTATGTTATGATTCTTCATTGAACCATCTACGTGCAGTTTATCCAATGTGTCATCCAAAAATCCATGTTGTCCTGTATCCAACGTCCGCAAGTAGTTAGGCCAAACGATCTGACATAGGGCAGTAAGAGAGCATCATGGAATTTTAAATTTCTTGAACTACTTTTCATGATATATAAAATTTTAACTATATTTTATATCTGCTCTAAGATTTCTTTGAAATC